GGTACGCGGGCCTCTCACTGTTGTGGCCTCTCCCGTTGCGCAGCACAGGCTCCGGACGCACAGGCTCAGCGGCCATGGCTCACGGGCCCAGCCGCTCCACGGCATGTGGGATCTTCCCGGACCGGGGCACGAACCCGCATCCCCTGCATCAGCAGGCAGACTCCCAACCACTGCGCCACCAGGGAAGCCCGATATGTCTGTCTTGTTGAGAGTAGAAGCTCAAAAATGATTTCATGAATAAATGTATATAAATTATTTTCAATTGACAACAAGCTTTTATTACATATAATCAAGTTCTCACAACAGACCTCATCATTTAGAAAAAGAAATCTTGAGGGGACATTTCATATATACCCAGCATTTTCTATATCTCTGGATGACCAGGAATAAACTGGAGATATTAATATATGAGATTTTTATTTATTAAAATATTTATTAAAATATTTTATTTATTTTTAATTATAAAAGTAATTCATGCAGCTTAGAAAAAAATTCAGTCAAAAAAGTACAGGGAAAAAAAGTATGAAGTAAAAATTGAAGTCCTCATTTCCTTCTTTCCCTGCTCATACGGATACCCAAAGGTAACTCCTTGTTAATAGTTTAGGGTGGATCCTTTAAGACGTGCATTTACAAATTATGTGGTGTTTGCAAACCAAGGACAGGAATAAAATTGATCCTGAAAAAAGTCTGAACATTGGCCTTGAATACTGTGAATATTTCTGTGAATATTTCTTCTTCTCTTTCTTCTCTTCATAATCAACTTTGTTTTTCTCTCTCACTGAAGACAGGCTTCTTCTCTTTTTTTTTTTTTTTTTTTTTTTTTTTTGCGGTACGCAGGCCTCTCACTGTTGTGGCCTCTCCTGTTGCGGAGCACAGGCTCCGGAAGTGCAGGCTCGGCGGCCGTGGCTCACGGGCCCAGCTGTTCTGCGGCATGTGGGCCACGAGGGAAGCCCCCAAGACAGGCTTCTTGATTCCTCGTTTCATTTGAATGAGTAGCTACCAACAAGTCGCAAGTTTTTATAGGTCCTCAGAGTTCAAGAAGAGCAACCAGACTATGCTAAAACCTTAGTCCAATTCCAAATCCCAGGAAGAGGATTCAGTTAGCCTATGGTGAGTCAGATGCACATCCTGTGGTCTGCCTGGGTGGGTCAACTTGGGGAGATGATAAAGGGTAGGGAAGTCTGGTCAGATAGAACCGTAAGTATTCACTACAATATATTTTGGTCCTCATTCCATGTTGGTACATTCTTTTTTATTTTATTTTATTTTTTTGCGGTACATGGGCCTCTCACTGTTGTGGCCTCTCCCTTTGCGGAGCACAGGCTCCGGACGCGCAGGCTCAGCGGCCATGGCTCACGGGCCCAGCTGCTCCGCGGCATGTGGGATCTTCCCGTGTCACCTGCATCGGCAGGCGGACTCTCAACCACTGCGCCACCAGGGAAGCCCGGTACATTCTTTTTAAAGGCTATATATCAGCCCATTGCATTGAAGAAGTGAGAAAATACCAGTAGGCATTTAGATTGTATCCAGTTTTTCATTATAGCAATGAACATACTTAAGTTTTTCTGCAATTATCTATATTATACATCATGAAATTTGGGGATCATAGTGGTGTGTACATTTGAACTTTTCATGTATGTTACCACTTGGCCCCCCAAAATGGTTGTAACAAATGACACATCCACATATACTGGGTATTCCCATTCTTCTTAGACTTTACCAGCACATTATGTGGAAAACAAAAACAAAAAACCAAGATATTTATTCATCTGAATAAACAGTATTTACTGATGGTTTATTCTGTACCTGGCCTGGTCCTGAAGCCTTGGGATTATAGCAGGAAACAAAACAAAGGCCCTACCTTCATGGAACAGTAACAATGAGCAATTCAACATAAATGTTGAAGATGGCTATGGAGAAAAATAAAGAAGGGTAAAGTGGCTCAGCAGGGCTTGAGTACAGCTTGCTATTGTAACTGGAGTGATCAAGGAGGGACTCTTCACTAGGGTGGCATTCAAGCTGATGCCTGAGGGTAAAAACTAGGCAGACATCTGAGGAAAGTGCACCCAAGTCCAAGAGAAGAAGCATGCCTGGGAAATGCAAGGAAGACCAAAGCAGGGCAGGGAGGCTGAGGCAGGGTGGGCAAGAGGGAGAACAGTAGGAGCAGATCTAAGGATAGGATCTAGGGAACATCTTTACCACGACTGCAAGCGGCCCGCACTGTCTGTAAATGGTGCTGACGAGAAAGTAAAAGGCCATTTTGCAATTCCAACCTCCCATCTCCACAGTTCGCAAGAGAACTAAGAGAACTGGAGTTCTCAGCTCAACCGGTGAGTAATCTGTGGAGATCGCTGTAGTTCAAGAATGAAAAGAAGGTAATCATTCCTAACTCCGACCACATGTGTAACTAAGTAAAGCCTAATCCACGGTGGTGTCATTTGCCCCGGAACCTTTAAGACCCTACTTTCCCAGCTACCCCAGTCACTCCAATCCTCCGAGGTGTTGGCAGAGAAGAGCTGCGCCTGCGCAGTGGCGCTGCGCGGACCGCACACCCGGAGGCCCCGCCCAGCCGTCAGTGGGCGGGGACAAAGTCAGCCCGAGCTCCGGAAGCGACCGCTGCCTGCCCCGTTAACGTGTCGGGCGAGGGAGACGCGTCGCAAAAAGTCGTGGTGGAAAGTCCCTACGATCTACAAACGTGGCGTTTTACGGTTCCTGTCCCTACTGAGCTGGGAGATGTCGGCTGCGGGACGGCCCGAGCCCTTGCGTCCTCCCGACGGCTTTGCGAAGCGGGTCCTGGTGACCGGGGGTGCTGGTTTCATGTAGGTAACGGCGCCGCTGGCAGAGTAGTGGCTCCCCAGAAACCCCAACCTTTCCCTGCGCCTCTGCTTGCCCTTGGCAATTTGGGATCAGCTTCGGGGATCTGATTGACAGGGGGGAGGGTCTTACGCACGACTAGGATCATCCCACTTTCTCTCCACTTCCCGGCCTGCGAAGACGTGCGTGGCTCCTTTGAAACGACTTCTTTTAAACGCCTCCCAAACTAAGCAAAAGTGCTGTGGTACTGTCCACCTTTCTACCTGGCCTGAGAGGTACCTGTCACTCTTCTGAGTGCGCCCCCTTTGCAGTAAGCTTCTCACCAACTGCCCCAACCCGAGCCAAGGGCCCACGATACACAGGCCTTGAACGTATAGGCTCCATGAACCGGTTTTGGGATTATGATAAGGGTTTCATTTATTCAGCAGACTTAAAAAAATTCTCTGTCGGTGTTTTGACCTGTACTAGTCGTTTGAAGCCCCTTTCCCTCTCACACCCATATTTAATCAGCAAGTCTTCTCTCACTCCTTCCAAAGAGACCACTTCTCACCCTCCTCCCCTGTTCTATCCTAGCCCCTGTTAATGTCTGCTTTTGCCTAGACTGCTACTGTAGCCTCCTGATTGGTCACATTGCTTCTACTCTTGTTCCCTTAAAGCCTGTTCTCACGCACAAGTCAGTGTTTATTAAGTAAATAAGTGCGTAATTTCACTCCAAAGATTCCTGTCGGACTTAGAATAAAATGTAAACTCTTTACCATGTCTGGAAGACTCTCAGGTGTCAGAGCTCATACCGGATCTCCTGTCCTGCCACCTCTTGCTTTTCTGGGCCTCTTGCAGTTCCTGGAACCCAGGAGGCTAGTTTCCCCTATTTTGAGGCCTTTGCACTTGCTTCCTCTCTGCTTAGGCTGTTTGCATCACTCAGTTCAGATGTTTACGCAGAGGTCACCTCCTCCCGGCCTTAGCTGACCACCCTATCTAAAATAGCCCCTCTCCCAACTAACACACTTATCACTACCTGAAACTATATTGCATATTTGTGTTTACTTGCTTATTGCCTGCATCCCAACCCTAGGATGTAAACCGAGTGAGGGCAGAGACTGTGGTTCCCTCAACACCTGGAAGAATGCTTCCCCCCTCATTAGTATATTAGATAACCTCTTCCAATCTGACAGTGGTTTGGAAGAGGGTACCAGGCAAGTTTCACTTAATGAAAAGGGGAGCATGGGCATAAAAGGGTGGAACAGTGCTGGTCCAAGGAAAGGTACGTCCTAGAAAGTTCTGTGAAAGGGCTGTCAAGTACAAACTCTGAATTCATAATTTGTTCCTAGGAGCCCAGCGTTTTGGTGTATATGATAAAAATCTGGTGGATCATCTCACTGAGAGATGCCTCTGGCTCCATTTCAGGGTCCTCTAAAACCCACTGTGCCACTAACCTCAGGATGGTTTCAGCAGTTCTTAGCCTTGGAAACCTAGGTTTACCACTTTACACCACCAAATTCTTATACCAAGAAATAGCAATTGCAATAGGCTACTGTGAACATGGACAACTCCTATGCTCATAACAGCTTAATTTTTACATAGTTATACCTGCAGTCTCTGAAAAGGCACATTGTCGGTTTAAGTCCATCTGCAGTGAACACCACCCATTGTATTTAAGATACTGCTTTACTACCACGCTCAAAGTATGCATGGACAGCATCATTTGGTTAATTATTTTCTTATACTCAGGACCAGTAAATTCTTTCTTCACCATAGTGTAAAGGGAGTGTAAGACTTTGTATATCAATACTGTTGAGAAGATTAATGAAAAGTGTGGATGTGTATATATTCAGCATAGTTATATCATTTCTGTTATCTTGCAGCAATTTGAAGGTATCTTTGAATAGTTTCCTAATATTCAACAACTTAGGGTAACGTTTGAGAATTTAAGGAAAAGGTTAAATTTTCTGCTAACAAGATACGCTTTTCTCTATAGTGCATCACATGTGATTGTCTCCTTAGTAGAAGATTATCCAAACTATATGATCATAAATCTAGACAAGGTAAGTTTTATAAAAATGAGCTCTGTGTTTAAAAAAAAAAAAGAGCCCTGTGTGCTGGAACTTATTTATATTTTTAAAAAGTATTAGAATCCTGTCCTGCTGATATTTTAGTTTTTTATTTAGTCATTTTAGCAGCTTAGGAGCCTATATAGTCATGTGTTCATACAGTTTTAAATCTTACATAAAGTCTTGAAACTTTTAAATTTGTTATGATAGCCCATAACGTAAAGGTTTTAAGTGCAGTATTTTTACTAAAAGAAAATCTTCACTCTGAATTCAGTATTTAGTGTAATCTTGTGATTATTAACCTTTTTTGGCATTGAGATACTCTGATTATTTTATTATATGATTTTATAACTGCCACCTCCTGAAAATTATATATTTATTTTAAAAACTAAAGTGCACGTAAATTAATTTAGTTTTGAGAATTTTTCTGTAATAATTGGAAGTTCCCTGGAGATTCTGAAAGCCATGATTGGTAATCATTGTGTTGTTGACTTTAAACACAAGATACAATTAGTTACCTTAATTTTATAAAACGTAATAATAAAAAATATATAGAGACAAAAAATAATCTGTAAGTCTTAATAATTTTTGCCTGCCATAATACCATGGACAGTAATTTTTTTCCTCCATCTGTGTACACTGATTTACCAACAGTTAACTCAGGAGAAAGCATAATGAGTTACAATATGTGTAACACAGGTGTAATTGTATTCAATCACTAATTCCTTTTCAGTAAGGAATGGTGAACTCTTACATCCCCCAGTGGCTGAAGGCAAATCTGCGCAGGAAAATTTTTTAAAGGAGAGGCTTACAAAAATTATTTTTTTTGTATTTTGAAAAGGTAACAAAATTACATATTTTTGTTTGTTTTTTACTTTTAAGATATCAGAAACTTCTAAAAACACTGAGAGCAAACACTTTAAGAAGACACGTTTTTGTGTTATGATCAGAAATCTGTAGTATTTTAAATAAATTGATATTTTATAGGAAAAGCTGTTAACACTTTTTGTGTTGTTTTTTCCCCATCCTTACTTATTTGAAGCTGGATTACTGTGCAAGCCTGAAGAATCTTGAAACCATTTCTAATAAACAAAATTACAAATTTATACAGGTATGGAAGTATTCTTATAGTTATATAATTATTTTATACTGTGCCTCTTTAGTCATTTAGACATTATATCTTTCTATTTTGTAAACTTGTGTAATATGGGCTTGGAAGCATGCTTATTAAAGACCTTTTTAATTTCCAGAAGTACCATGTGCTATAGAGAATATTACTTGTAGATTGATACTGCATATAAAGCTACATGTTATTTTTGGTGCCTTGGCAGATCTATGAGTAGCTGACTGAAATTCCATGGTGTGTGATTTTTAGGTCCTCACTAGCCGCCTTCTTAAGGCCTTACTGGTATTTAAAGAGATTGGTATAAAATAGGGTATTACTCGGGCCAGTCAGTAGTCAAAAACCCCACCATACAAGCCCATGGTAGTCCAAAGTATAAACCAAGCAGCCAGGTCGCGGTACACGGGCCTCTCACTGTTGTGGCCTCCCCCGTTGCGGAGCACAGGCTCCGGATGCTGCGCAGGCTCGGCAGCCATGGCTTACGGGCCAAGCCACTCCGCGGCATGTGGGATCTTCCCGGACCGGGGCACGAACCAGTGTCCCCTGCATCTGCAGGCGGACTCTCAACCACTGCGCCACCAGGGAAGCCCTGATTTATGTTTTTTAAAGTGATTCTATAAACTCTCTTTTTAACCACAAATCTTAAAGAATATACTAAGCAAACATTTCATAATTTTTTCTTCTATCTCAAAGTGTCTCCTTTAGTCACTGAAGAATTGTTGAGAATACGTATTTTTAGAACTAAACGTACATATAACATTAAAAATACTCAAGTTTACTTAGTTGTGGTGAAATCCATCATTCCAGTTGTTATACTTACGTTGAATATATTTCAATAGTGGTTATCTCAAACTTTTAAAAGTATGTTTAAATTTTTTCCTGTTAACATAGTTACCTTAGGTTGGCAAGAATGTTAAGAAAAAAAGCTGGCACAGTCCACAGTAGTTGGTGCTCAAAAAAATACTGTTTTAGACACTTATTTGCAAAAACATATTTTGAATCGAATATCTGGTATCCTAGGATGCTGAAGAAATACCTCATTACTGTATTTGACCCCTCAGTTGAATTTTCAAGATATTCTCTTTTATACCTGGGGTAGGGGATTAATTTTTTTTCTTATCATGTTTTTGTTCATGAAGTAAAATGGTTATTATGGTTGGGAGTGCTCAATGATACTTAGTTTTTTCATGTTTGTTTTTTTATATAGGGTGACATATGTGATTCTCACTTCGTGAAACTACTTTTTGAAACAGAGAAAATAGACATAGTACTACATTTTGCTGCACAAACACATGTAGGTAAGCATTGTTTAATGATGGGCAGATGTTTTTTTCCAGTGGCTAACTAGCCAAAATCAAGGTCCGATAACAGGGTTGAACAAGTAGTTACTTAATGTATGTGAAAGAACATATACCATGTTTTACCAGAAAAGCCCGTAGTCACTCTGTCATCTAGATACTTGGTGCTATTCAGATCCCTTGTGTTAGCGTAGGGTAAAATGTAACCTTGAATGTTATCGTAAAACTGAGTTTAGCCAAATCCAGAATTAGTGATTACTTCTGGGGAAATGGGCCTTTAGCCGTATTTTTATGTTGTTTTTCTTAAGGTGGGTGGTAGATACACAGTTGAACGTTATATTATTCTCTGTACTGTTTTGTCCTAAGATATCTTCTAATAATTTGTCTAGCATTTTATATTGTGAAATGTAATGTATATTCAGAAGAATTTAGAAGTAAGGTTAAATGAATAATGATAATGTGAATACTCATGTAGCCATCACCTAAACAAAAGAATGTTGCTGAACCCTCTTGAGTAGTAGTATTACTACTGCCTTATTACCTGATTTTTAAGTTATAATTTCCCTTGGTGTTCTCTGCAGTTTTACTGTCTCTGTATTTATCTCTAAACAGTATAGGTTAGTTTTGCCTGTTTTTAGATTTTATAAAAATGCGTATATAAAATAACATGAAGGGTTTTTGGTCTTGCTTTTTCATCCTTGTAGATTCATCCATGCAGTTGGGTGTAGGTATAATTTGTTCCTTGTCAGTGTCATACAATATTCCATTCCAAGTATATACCACAATTCCTGTGTCTGTTTTACTCTTGATGGACATTTGGATTGTTCGCACATTGGAGCAATTTTGAACAATACTACCATGAGCATTCTTACACATGCATCTTGGTACATATAAATACACATTTCTCTCAGTATATAACTGGAATTGTAAGATCTGCACACTTCAACATGGAGATAATTTCGAACTGTATTCCAAAGCAGTTATACCAGTTTCTTCTCCTGCAGGAGTATATGAGACCTTCTGTTATTCTAGATCTCACCAAAGCTTAGTTTTGTCAGTCTTTTCCATTTCTGTCAATCTGAGTAGTGTGTAGAGTGGCATCTGATTGTGGTTTTAATTTGTATTTCCCTGATTACTGATGAAGCTGTGTACTTTTTATATGTTTATTAATAATTTCAGTTTCTTCTTTTGTGAAATGCTGTTGAAATCTTTTGCCCATTTAAAAATTTTTAAATCAGTTCTCATTGATTTGTTGGAATATATATATGTGTGTGTGTGTATATGTGTGTGTGTGTGTGTGTGTGTGTGTACACACACACACACACACACACACACACACTGGATACTAGTCCTTTGTTATGTGTATTATATATATCTTCTCCCACTCTGTAGCTTATTTTTTCATCTTTTTGCTAGTGTGTTTTGATGAACATGTTCTTATATAAATTCTCAATGAATTTATATATCTTTTATGGTATGGTTAATGCTTTTTGGGTCTTAAGAAATTCTCTTTTACCCCAAGGTTATGAAGATATTCTTCTGTGTTATCTTTGAAAAGCTTTATAGTTTTGCCTTTCACATTTAGGTTTGTAATCCATCTGAAACTCATTTTTATATGCAGTATGAGATAAGAATCCAATTTCATTTTTTTCTATTTGAATGCCAATTGGACCTCTCCCACTTATGGGAACGTTCACCAGTTTCCACTGCTCTGTCATGTATCAAGCATCTATATGAGTATCTGTTTCTCAACTCCCCATTTGTCTTATCTGTTTGTGCCTGTGCTGATCACACAGTATATCGACTAATGTAGTGTTTTCATATCTGGTAGAACAAGTCCTTCTACTTGGTTAACGATAAAGTGGTTTTCCTTCCAACAATTTATGAGATGCTTACCAGTACTTCCTGTTGTCAATCTTTGGTGGTTTTATTATATTTTTCCCTGATTATTAATGATGTTAAAAACCTTTGCATTTGTTTACTGGATTATCCTCCTCCCTTTCCTATTTGTGTATCTCTTTAGAAGGTTTCTGTGTAAGTCTGTTTACCATTTTCAAGTGGGTTGTCAGTTTTTTCCTTACAGATTTTTATAAGTCCTTTATATATTCTGAATTCAAATCTTTTCCACTACCTTTTTTCCAATCTGTGATTTGCCTTTTCACTTCCTTTCTATTTTATCTCATCTCATCTCACCCCACCTCAACTCACGTCACCTCACCTCAGCTGCGTTGTGCGATCTGAGTTCCCCAACCAGGGATTGAACCCAGGCCCTTGGCAGTGAGAGTGCTAAGTCCTAACCACCAGACTGCCAGGAATTTCCTTGCCTTTTCACTTTCTTAATGATGTCTTTTGATGACTTGAAATTCTTCATTTCAGCGTAGTCCAGTTTATCAGCCTTTTCCTTTATGGTCAGTGCTCTTTGCGTTCTGTGTAAGAGCTCTTTTCCTACCTCCAAGGTCATGGAGATATTCTCTTAGATTCTTTTCATAAAACTTATTGTTTTGCCTTCTACATTCAGATATTTTCCCCATATGAATATCAGTTTGACCCAGCACCATTTATTGAAAGAATCAACCTTTCCCCATTGCCACCTTTGTTGGAGATCAAGTACCCATATAGGCATGGTTCTGTTTCTGGCTTCCTGTTCTGTTCCGTTGGTCTTTGTCTATCCTTATGCCATTACCACACTGTAATTACTGTAACTTTATAATAATTCTTGATACCAGCAAAGCAAACCCTCCTACCTTTTAGTTCCAAAATTTTTTAAAATTTAAGAGCATTTTAAATTTTAGATGTATCATTTCTTTTTTGAATTAAAAAAAAGTGTTTCCCGCAAATATTGCACTGATAGTTTTCTAGGTTCTAAGAATTCGCATGTACTATGTAATTTGTGCTTAAAGAAATCATAAATAGCAATGCACCTTATGTTATTTTTAACACCGTTGCAGTTGTGGTGAATGAAGAAAAGTGAATAGAGTTTTCCTTAAGCCTGAGTCTACTGTTTAGTATTTGCTTTGTCCCTTGAGTGGAATTCTTCTAGCTTTTTCTTCTTTTTTTTAGATCTTTCATTTGTCCGTGCCTTTGAGTTTACGTATGTTAATGTTTATGGCACTCACGTTTTGCTAAGTGCTGCTCATGAAGCCAGAGTGGAGAAATTTATTTATGTCAGCACAGATGAGGTCTATGGAGGCAGTCTTGATAAGGTGAGCTTAGAAAATGACTGTTTCGGACTTCCCTGGTGGCGCAGTGGTTAGGAGTCCGCCTGCCAATGTAGGGGACATGGGTTCGAGCCCTGGTACGGCAAGATCCCACATGCCGCAGAGCAGCTAAGCCCATGCGCCACAACTACTGAGCCCATGCGCCACAACTATTTTTTTAAAATAATTTTTAATATTTATTTATTTATTTATTTTTGGCTGCATTGGGTCTTCGTTGCTGCACACGGACTTTCTCTAGTTGTGGCGAGCGGGGGCTACTCTTCATTGCTGTGCGTGGGCTTCTCATTGCGGTGGCTTCTCTTGTTGCAGAGCACGGGCTCTAGGTGCGTGGGCTTCAGTAGTTGCAGCACGTGGGCTCAGTAGTTGTGGCTCACAGGCTCTAGAGCACAGGCTCAGTAACTGTGGAGCATGGACTTAGTTGCTCCGCAGCATGTGGGACCTTCCCAGACCAGGGCTCGAACCCATGTCCCCTGCATTGGCAGGAGGATTCTTAACCACTGAGCCACTAGGGAAGCCCTGCGCCACAACTACTGAAGGCCGCGCACCTAGAGCCCTTGCTCCGCAACAAGAAAAGCCACCGCAATGAGATGCCTGCGCACCGCAATGAAGAGTAGACCCCGCTCACCGCAACTAGAGAAAGCCCGCGCGCAGCAACAAAGACCCAACGCAGCCAAAAATAAATAAATTAAATAAATAAATAAAACAGATGTTATAAAAAGAAAATGACTGTTTCACCTACTTACCCCGTACCACCATACAAACCTGTCTTATGAAAACCTACTCTGGACTTTTTTCATCTTCTGATTATACACACTTACGGGACTCCCCAGAATATTATTCCGTTGTGTCTTCTGTTCAAATCAAATAGTACCACCCCAAATGGGGAACGACAGCCTAGTCTGGTACAGATTTATATATGTAATTTGATCGACATATTTTGCAAGCGAGCAGCAGCTTTTCCCTGATCACTCAGTCTTACATCATGAATGTCATTCCCATGGGCCAAAGCACGTGTAAGTTATGCTGCAGCATAAGGCCTGTCTCCCTTCTCTTCCGCTCAGCAAAGCATATTGTACTGTCAAGGAGTGAGTGTGAAATTGTTGTAGAAACTGGAATCTGTTCTCCTTTGTTAATCATTTGTAAACATTATACTTTTTATGCAAAGAGAGGCTCCATTCTCCAGTCTGTATTTTTCATAGTCAGTGTTTACAATGACCTCATTTTGTTTTGTTTTATTTTTTAAATGCATTTATTTACCAAAACACATACGTAGTGGGAAAAAAACCAAGTAGTTTGAAAAGACTTATAATGAGAAAAAGCAGACCCTGACCACTTCTCCTCAGTGCCCAATCCCACTTCTGAGGAACAGCCATTTGCAAACTCTCTCTGCAATTTTTATCAGGTAAGCTTCTTCCTTCTTGTACTCCTGTCAGCCTACATCAGGTCTGACACAGTAGCCAGAATGCTTTTTAAAATATAAGTCAGATCATGATATTACTGTCATCAAAACCCATCAGTGTTTTGACAGTGGCCTTCAAGGTTCCACATGCTCTGGCCTCTGGCTTTCAGACCTCATCTCACATTTCTCTTCCCTCACACTAGCCTCCTTGTAGTTCCATTGGACACAGTCTGTCTCAGGGCCTTTGCACTTGCTGTTCTGTTTGCCTGCCTTACAGGGTTGTTACGAACTTTAAAGAAGTTACTACATGTAAAGTGCTTAGAAAAATGCCAGGCACATAGTTGGGTTTCAGTAATTTTTTTTTTTTTTTTTTGGCTGCGTTGGGTCTTTGTTGCTTTGCGGGCTTTCTCTAGTTGTGGCGAGTGGGGGCTACTCTTCCTTGCGGTATGTGGGCTTCTCACAGCGATGGCTTCTCTTGTTGCGGAGCATGGGCTCTAGGTGCGCGGGCCTCAGTAGTTGCGGCACGTGGGCTCAATAGTTGTGGCTCGCGGGATCTAGAGCGCAGGCTCAGTAGTCATGGTGCACTGGCTTAGTTGCTCCAGGACATGTGGGATCTTCCTGGACCAGGGATCGAACCCGTATCCCCTGCATTGGCAGGATTCTTAACCACTGCACCACTGGGGACGTCCTCAATAAATGTTTTTTAAATGTACTGATTTACATTTCAAGTTTGTAATATGTTCTCCGATTTTTCTACTTAGAAAGTATACATAATACTTATTTTTTTAATATCTTTTTAAAATTAGGAATTTGATGAATCTTCTCCCAAACAACCTACAAATCCCTATGCATCATCTAAAGCAACTGCTGAGTGTTTTGTACAGTCTTACTGGGAACGATACAGGGTAAGAACTGACCTCAGAAACTCTAGAATCATTTTTCTTTGGACTTAGGTGTTAAAACTCCAAGTTAGCATTAGCAACATTTCATTTTTAGGAGGGCAGACATAGATTAAGAAAAGTTATATATTAAGGAATTTAAAAAACTCATTTCCAATATTGTGTGGACAAAGCAGGGACCTATTTCTTCTTATCCAGTTCATCCTTTAAAGGAATAATTTATGTATATATTTTTTTCTGCTTCACTAATAGGTAGAGTGTTACAGCTAGAGTGAAAAGCCCTGTTGGAATGTCCTGATTCCCAGGAGTCCTCTGAGTGAAGGAAGACAGAGGGAGGTTAGATTCCCTTACCAGCCACTGCTTCTCTCGGCCCCTCGTGAAGGGGAGATAGATTTACCCCAGTGGCTGTGTCAGTGTCCGTGCAGGAGCCTTGCCCACTATGAATCATCACCTGGAACCCCTGCACTTGGCTTCCCACTGATCTTCCAGAGTTATTAGGGACTGGGTCAGAAAGGCGAACCAAGGGATTGCTTCAGCTTCTCTAGCCTTTTGTGTTCCAGTAGCATTGGTCTTTTCCCTCCATGGACGCTCTTTTTATTTGTAAGGGTTGGTCCAACAGAGAAAGCCAACTTGAAGTTTAACATCTCAGGTGGTCTCTGAAAGAATCAGGTAGAAATGTCCTTAATTTCCCGCTATCAGACCTACAAACCCGCCTCCATCTGTATTCATCCTTCCTTTGTCCCAGTGAAGAGACTATTCCTCTTCTTCCTTTTGGAACCTCTGCCTTTATCGGAATCCCGTCCTCTCCTGTCTTTTCAGGAACCTTACATTAGAAAAAAAAAATCCCTTTGCTTCTGTCCTTAAGGTGTGTGGAATTATTCAGTCAAAAGTGCCCATATGTTAAAACTGCTTATCTTTAGATAATCATTATTATTGGACCCTCCCATTACCTTAATGTTGAACTCTCTTTAAGTTTCCAGTTGTCATCACACGAAGCAGTAATGTTTATGGACCACATCAATATCCAGAAAAGGTACATTTTACTTTTGAATTCCTGATGTGTTTTAGTGATTGTAACTTCTCATTATTTAAAATAATCCCTCTTCAGTTATTTGTCCAAAGAATTTTTGTTGCAATTAACCGTAATTATAAATACTTTATAGGCCACATACAAATCTCATCATGTTTAGAGTTTGAAAACTTGAGTTTAAGTCTCAACTTGATACTCACCAGCTGGGATGACCTTAGGTCCTTTGAGCATTGTCTTTAAATTGACGGGTAATGATAATACTTAGGAAGGATTCTGAAGAGTCCAGTGAGATGATGTATGTGAAAATGCTTTGTACTTTGCAGGATTCTAAAACACTACAGAGTACTCCCATCACTACTGTCACACCAGTGAAGACTCCTTCCCAGTATGCAGTCAGACCATATGTCAGCCTGTACAGAAACGTAGACGCTAGTTAGAGAGTGATGCAGGAAGCTTGTACATAAACTTGTCTTAAAGGCAGCCGATTAGCTGTTCCCCAGCTCCTCTGTATTGTTGCAGGCCTGAATGTCGTCCAGAAAGTAGTTTAGCAAATAAAGAAATGTAGTTAAAAGGCTGAAAATGTGTGTGGTTGATTCTGTATCATTAAGCCCAAATGTTAAGTAACTACTAGTCTCACTGCCTAAATTTATTTATTTATTAAAATTTTTATTGGAGTATAGTTGATTTACAATGTTGTGTTAGTTTCAGGTGTACAGCAGAGTGAATCAGTTATACATATATCTCAGTGCCTAAATTTAGAGCTGGGTTTTCTCACTTCTTAGCTGCTGGTTGCCTTGATCTGTCTGCCCAAAGGAAAGGGCCATATCATGATCTGCTGATATTAATATATATTTGGCTTAATTTTTTAACACTTATTATAAATTTAATAATTTCTTATCTCACCATGTTTGACACCAATTTTCTTTGAATCCAGTGGCACTGGAATTACTTTTTATTAATTTTACAAGCACTTATTGAATAAGTACTGTATGTAAAGTAAAAAGTACATGAGTCCTGCTCATATGAAATCAACACAAAAGTGAGCTTGCAGTGAGAGAAAACTGTTCAGGAAGATTTTTTCTGAACTTTTTCACTATTTATATCATTTTATCTTCATTTTTATCTAGCAAAAAACTTGTATTTGTGAAATAAGAAACGATCTTACAGTTCTTTTACTTATCAAAATTATAATAAGTGTTTCTTGAACTCCTGATAAGAATTACAATCTGCCCATAAGTGTATTTCTTAACAATAATAATATTTTAACCTTATGATGAGTTCAGGTTTATATTAATGAATGAATTTCCAAAGTCTGAAATGATAATTTAAATATTCTTTTAGGTTATTCCAAAATTTATATCTTTACTTCAACACAACAGGAAATGGTATGTTATTTACCTTTGTACCCATGTTTTTCTGGTATGCTGGAGTATTTAGTGTCAGTCTTTCTTGAAAATCAAAAAGTGTTAGAGTTGGAGGCCTTAGGATTTAATGTCCCAACAAATTTAAGAATTCCTTCTACAGTCAGTGTAATAGTTTTAAAAATAATTATAATGTATAATTCATCTTTATAATTTGATTACTAAGATAATTTTAATTCTTAAATAATCCATCCTAAAACTTTGAGTAATAGCATTAAAATTTGTCATCTATCTTTATATAATTTTACTTTTTCAAAAGACTTAACTGAACCGTAGATAGTCTTCAAAGTGAACTTAAGGTATAAAATTGATGAATAAATATTTCTGCAGGGGTCACTTACATGTTTGCCACTTTCCTAGTGAGCACCCACAGTGGGTTTGGAGGTCAGTTAAGAATTATGGATAAAATCTGGAAGTCATGAGAATTTGTATTTTCAGTAAGAGATGTCTAGGATCTTCATGGGAATTGCCTTCTCTGGAATTGTACCCAATCATTGCCATACCCTGGTTTGGGAGAGCTTACTTTTTTTTTTTACACTTTATGATTCCCTTTCATTTCATCTTTTTAGCTGCATTCATGGATCAGGGCTTCAAACAAGAAACTTCCTTTATGCTACTGATGTAGTAGAAGCATTTCTCACTGTCCTCAAAAAGGGAAAACCAGGTGAAATTTATAACATTGGAACCAATTTTGAAATGTCAGTTCTCCAGCTTGCCAAAGAACTAATACAACTGGTATGTATATATTATAAAAGGATAGTATTTTCAAAATTGTCACTAAATTAGTGACAGTAATCGCTAATTTTGTCAAAATCAACAATTTACAGTTTACTCATTTGAAAAGTGAACCAGTAAAAAAAGGAACTTCATAATTCCATATGTATGCTGAGATGTGTCATTATTTGAAACTGCATCACTCATTTAGTCACAGCTTTTCAGGAAAAAAATTCCACAACGTTAAATATGCATACCCATTATAAGACATATTCGATTTCAGAAAATCGAATGTTAAGTTGTGTGTCCTAGAATCAAGGAACAGTGATATATAGATAATAGTTATGAGTGTTTTTATGTACTAGTGAGCATCAATTATAAATCTCAGGATTCAGTAAAAAGAGCGATTGAACGAATGGAAAAAACTTGTTTTCCTTTACACTACTCACAGAACACTCTGTCCTCCGAACGTGTGAGTTTTCCACGCCCAGCAATTCTCAGACACCAGCTCGGTGTCCTACTATTTAACTCAATTCTGACAATATCTGTCTGGAGATGGTGTCAGATACCACAGGTTAAGGGCTCAGTGTCACAAGACTGCCCTCACTTCACATGTCAACCCTGAGACCTGGCTGTCACCTGTGCTTTTGATCAACGAGGTATAAGTTTGAGACAATTTGCTACAGGGGCTCACCGAACTCAGGAAAACAGTTTGCCCACTAGGTTACCGGTTTATTACAAAGGATGGAGGAGATGCACAGGGCAAGATAGGAGGGAAAGGGTGTGGAGCTTCCTGCCCTCTCCGGGTGTGCCACCTTCCCAGCACCTCCGTGTGTTCAGCAGCCTGGAAGCTCTCCTCTTGGGTTTTTATGGAGGCTTCATTAAGTAGTCATGATTGATTGAATCATGGCCACTGATGATTAGTTCCACTTCTGGTCCCCTTCCCCTCCCTGGAGGTGGGGGCAGGGAGGCTGAGTTCCATCTCTCCAGTCACATGGTTGGTTCCCTTGGCAAGCAGTCTTCATCCTTAGGCGCTTTCCAAAAATCACGTATTAACCTGAACTCTGGTGTGGTTGAAAGGAACTTATGAACAGCAAAAGACACCTTTATCTCTCATCACCAGGAAATCCCAAAGGTTTTAGGAACTCTGTGCCAGGAGCAGGGATGAACACCAAATATATATTTCTTATTTTAAATCGCAATATCACACTGAGTAATAACCAAAAGCCAAAAAAATTCATTTTCTCCTATAGTTTATATAATGTGTATTCTCTCTGAGCTTCAGATGGAATTCAGGTTATAAAGTATGGAAAGTGTTATAAAGTGCTATTCGTCTTAGCTGTGTTCCGCACGTGGAGGAGGAGGTTTTGCTCGTCTTTTGACTCAGCTGTTGAACACCGTCTTCTGGTTTCACTTTGTAATTTGACTCGAAGTTCTTCTCCATTTTGACAGATCAAAGAGACCAATTCAGAGTCTGAAATGGAAACCTGGGTTGAGTATGTTAATGATAGGTGAGTAACAAGCTAAAATATTGGGGAAAGGTGGTGAAATCTTAGGTACTTATAAGATTATAAAATGTATGGACTTACCCAGAAAAGTTTATCTTTTTTGCATTTTCTGCTAGAATGTTTTTTCCTGATAATAAATGTCGTAACTAGCATTATTATTAGCTGTGTGACTTAAAGAAAGTTATTGACCCTTTCCAAGTCTGAGATTTCCTTGAGTGTGAAATAGGGATAATAATACCTTGCTTATGGAAGTATTTTAAAATTTAATTTATAATGTATATAAACTACCAGACCCAGGGCATGGAACATGAGTCCTAACAGGTTTATGTGTATTCATTCATTCATTCATCAGACATTTAGGTATGAGACATTGCATTCATACCTAGATTGTGGTTGAAATGAGAAAAGGATAAGCCACAGAGAGGGTTAGGCTTCTGGATTATAGATGATTTTTAACATATACTTTATTTTACAAATATATACGAGTGTCAGCAGGGAGAATTTTTTGAGAGAAAATTTGAATTATGGACACACATTATTTCTCTTAGTATTTAAATTTGTAAATAGGGAATTTCCTGGTGGTCCAGTGGTTAGGACTCCACACTTTCACTACCGAGGGCCTGAGTTCAATCCCTAGTCTGGGAACGAAGATCCCTCAAGCCGTGCAGCAGGGCCAAAAATAAATACATTTGTAAATATATATCCACGGTATCATTTAAAATCTGTTTTGTTTTCCAAGACCTACCAATGACATGAGATATCCAATGAAATCAGAAAAAATACATGGCTTAGGATGGAGACCTAAAGTGCCTTGGAAAGAAGGAATAAAGAAAACAAGTATGTTATGAATTGATCATTTGGGGGGAGGGGGAGAATCAGAAAAATTTTAAGGCACAGTAATTTATTTTAGGACGCTACAAACAGTGTTGTGGTGAATCACTTTCACTTTTCAAATTTTTACATTTAATGTCTTTCTAACGTTAGTAATTAAGTATCCTGAATTTCATAGACTAACTTCTGATTAGGCTTCCTTTGTCTTACTAGCATTTATCAGATAACTATTTCATTGATTCTCAGATGCACATTTTTTCACATCCTTGAGAGGTATGTGTTTTACAATCACTAGTGTCTTATAATTATTATTTCAACTTTTTTTCTTTCTTTCTAATATGTAAAGTAATGGTCCATCTTAAGATCAGGCATCTGAGATTTGGTGAAATAGAGACAGTTGCCGTCTTTGAGCATCTTGAGTCTTTTTATACTGAAACAGACAAATAGGAAGCAAATTTAGTATGTGCAGAAATAGCCATTAAAATAAGTGTATATATAGTCTGTGCATATATGTTAAATTCTCTTTAGAAATGTACTCGAGAAAAGATACCCAAGTGTAGGAAAAAGTCTCAGTTCAGAGCTTGGCATACAAAATATTTGTGTTGAATTTGAAAAAGCAAATTCAGGGACTTCCCTGGTGGTCCAGTGGTTAGGACTCCGTGCTTTCAATGCTGTGGGCCCCGGTCAGGAAACAAAGATTTTGTAAGCTGCGCACATAGCGCAGCCAAAAAAAAAAAAAGCAAATTCAAAGATAATTTATTATTTTTCAACTAAAAATCTTTATTAATAGGATAGCAACATAAAATAATTTTACATATTAACAAAAGGAAGTTGACATCATCTCACTGTGCCTATCATGCAGTATTGTGATGTTTACATGAACAAAATACTACACTTTTTTTCCTGTGACTTTAAAACCAGTACAAGTGACGTATCTCCCTTTCCCCCTGAATTCCCTAAAATTAGAATGTTTTAATACTTGTACCAGCAAATTCAGTATTGAAGGACTTTTGAAGTTAAAAAGAAAAAAAGTTGTTGATTTTTAAATCTACGTTTTCAGGTGATGAAACATCTTCTGATTAACATCATTGGTTAGTTCAAAATCAAATTGTTTTCGTCATTAGGCAATCCTTGCCTACACATTAGCTGATGGGCAGGGTTTTTCTTACTTAGCAGGAACCCAGTCAATATTGGTTAACTGATGTTTAGTTTTTTATGTTTTATTTTTGTCTTTTTGTTTTATCAGTTGAGTGGTACGGAGAGAATTTTCACAACTGGAAGAATGCAGAAAAGGCATTAGAACCCTTTCCAGTACAACCACCGTTTGTATAGTCGGGACAGTTTTCAGAGAAAGAAGAAACTTATCCTACCTCAACAAATGATATGAAATCAAACGACCAAATGAAGTGTCCTCTTTTCATCTGGAATTAGATTATGACTTTTTGTATAAAATTCAAATGTAAAATGCCTCAGTCTTTAGAAGAGGTTCAGTATTAGCATAGGATTTAAATATCAAAATTCTCTCAGAAACCTTTTCTCCTAAAAATTAGGAACCAGTAAGCCTAGAAAGACTCTTCTGTAGGTGTGGGCCAGGAAGGAGGAATCTCCTGGTTCTGAGAACAAGGACAGCTAATAGCTCTGGGCAGATGACAGCCTTCGCTGGCATTGAACTCAGCTTCCCATCCTTTCCCACTGCCTGGACAGTCTCTGAAGTTTTTTAGGCAGTATAGGATGAGCCTTTTGCCCTAATTTATCTTTTTAAGGTCTGATGTGCTACAATTGCTTTAAAAATGGAACAAATGGAAGCATATCTAGCACTTTTTATTTGATAATTTTGTACAATTAAGTTAAATATTTTTTAAAAGAACGATGTAGTTTTTATATTTTTCAAAATTGGTCATTGAACTATAAGTAATCTTGTATCAGAGAAATTTTATCATGTATTTACTGTTGAAAATGATTTTATTTATAAAATTATCAATACTTTATTAATGTATAATGTGGCTTTTTAAAAAGTAATGTATGTTTTTGTTTTGCTGTAAAAAAATTTTTTAAATACTTGATTCGCATGTATTTTTAGTTCCTCTCTTCCCGAAAGACTTTAAGATGATTTGAAAAGGTAACTGATTGGATATTACATTCATAAAAGGGAAAAGGGTTTCTGGCCTCAGTGTGTGACTGGTGCCTTGTTTTCTCTGTGGAGTAGGAAGCAAGGTTATTAACTCAGAGGTGGTTGAAGGAGGGCGATAGGAGTGGCATAAGGGCCTGGGGCATGTGGAGACTGGGAAAAGTGTAGTAAACAGATTGAAAATTAGTAAGGGGATTTGCCAAACGAGTGAAACACAAACTGAGGCCAAATGCTGTAATTGCTGAATTCTGCTGTGTGTCGAAATAGATTGAGCCAGAGCTGGGCTCAGTGTGAGGCCCAGGGACTAGAGTTGAGTGAGGTCGACTGAAATGACGGTCCCCTGGTCTTAGGTATGTAGGGAAGAAATGCTTCTTGGAGGTAGCCTGTAGCTCTAGAGAAAATGAAGAGGGGAGAGGGCCGAAGGGAGCGGAGATAAGATCTCAGGGAGGCAACTGTAGGAAGTTACAGGCAGAAAATGGGACCAACTGAGAGCAAATAGTCTTTGATGGAGTTTGGTCATTGAGGATAGCTGACAAAATAAAAACGCTTGTTCTGTGTCATTTGTTCTTGCACATGTTTTTGTGAGCTTTCAGGCAGTGAAAATACCCTGTATGATAATATGATGATGTCCATATGTCAATTTACATTTATCCAAACCCACAGAATGTATATATAGCACCAAGAGTGAACCCTAAGATAAACTGTGTCCTTGGGGTGATTATGGTGTGTCAATTTGGATTCATCCTTGGTTGAAAAAAAAAAGCACCATTCTGATGAATGATGTTGATAATGAGGGAGACTATGCATATGTAGGGACAAGGGAGTACATGAGAAATCTCTGTACCTCCCTCTCAATTTTGTGATAAACCTAAAACTCTGAAAAAATTGTCTTAAAATTAAAAAAAAAAAAAGGACAACCTTAGAAAAGAAATCGGCTAAGCTGAAAGCTTTTGGTCTCCAAGAGCCCTCTGAAAGCTGCCCTTTCCTCCCTGCTCTATACTCATCTTGCCGCCACCTGCTTCCATTCCGCCTCTGCTGCAAGAGTTATCCCTGTAGTCACCAGCCTCAGAAACCCTCCTGAGAAATGTCATCTGCTCTCATATCGCTTTAATTACCATCTTTTTTTTTCTTTTTCCAATTTCAATTCCTTATCTCTATGCCAGGATCTCTTTTCTGAGCTTCTGATCTCCAGTTTGAAATCAGTTTGATAGGGCCTCAAAAATTTAAACATAGAATTAACCATATGATCCAGCAATTCTACTCCTAGGTATATATCCCAAAGAATTGAAAGCCGGATCTCAAACAGGTATACTTGTACACCAATGTTCATTGCAGCATTATTCACAATAGCCAGAAGGTGGAAAGTACCCGTATGTACATCTACAGATGAGTGGATAAATAAGATGTGGTCTGTACAAACAGTGGAATGGTATGACTCCACTTGTATGAAGAACCTAGAGTAGGCAAATTCATAGACACAGGAAGGATAATAGAGGTTTTCCAGGGCCTGGGGGAGAGGGGGAAAGTGGGGAGTTATTGTTTAGTGGGTACAGACTTTCTGTTTGGGATGACGAAAAAGTTCTGAAAGTGGATAATGGTGATGGTTGCACAACACAATGCACTTAATGCCACAGAATTGTATACTTAAAAATAGTTAACATGGTAAATTTTTTAATGTATATTTTAGCATAATAATTTTTAAAAATGTGTACCTAGACCAACAGCATTTTTATCAGTTGCTAGAGCTGCAAATTCCTGGACTCCATCCCAGACTTACAGAATCAGAAACTTTGGGGAGAGGGCCCAGTGATTCTGATGCACACTAATGTTTGAGAACCCTGCTCTATAATATGGTGAGATGAAGCCAGAGAGAAATGTGGTGGCCCAGTCATGGATGGCCTTGTCTGCCATGAAAAAAGTGCTTGGACCTCATTCTGCCAGCAAAGAGTTATTTCGGGATTTTAAGGAAGAAATCGACATCGTTAGATTTGTGAGATTTATCTAATTCCTATTTTCAAAACTAATAACGTGCTCATTACAGAACACTTGGGAAAATTAAATCAATAAAAAACGCACACCAGCCGTTGTCTACCACTGGAGGATAACCCCTGCTAATGTTCAGATGTATGTTCTTCATTTCATTTCTTGGAACATATATATACATTTTAAAAAACCGAAATGGGATCTTAATGGACGTACTGTTTGGGAGCCTGCTCTTTTTCACTAAGCAGTATATCAGGAACATTTTTACATATTATGAGATCTTTTGTCATTTTTTTTGACTGCAGAATTTTACGTGTTTGATAGCTCATTCTGGCAACAGTATGAAAGATAAAGGAAGGCAAGATTGAACTCCTGCAGGGATCCAAGTTACGAAGTTATTGCAGTAAATCAGGCTGGTGATGATAAGGCCTAAAGCACAGCACTGCAAACAGGTAGCATCGGCGACAGACGTGGGAACTCTTCAGATTAAAAAAACTCAGTTGATTGATGATACGTGCGAGGTGCACTTCCTTGGGGGGTATTTTAAGGTTTTGAATATTGAATTGGAAAGCGTGGAGAATGGGAAATCATATTTGGGAGATGGTGGGCTTTAGGGATCTGTGGGATATCCAAATGGAAGTATTTAGCAAACAAACTCATGAATCTGATGTTCAAATTGGTGGGCAGGGTTTGAGATCTACAGATACATATTTGGGAGTTAAATGGCAATTAAAACCCTAAGAGTGGTTTAAATCACCCGAAAGAGAACATACAAAATGACAAAGTAGATGGTGGGCGGCATGATTCATAGGCAAGCCATGAGAAATACCAAGGTTTTAATTGCAGGCAAGGAAGCCAGGGAGAAGATTAAGAAGGAATCTTTTTTAAAAAATAAATAAAAATAGAGGAGTAGAAGAGAACAGGAGGAAATAACACCACAGAAGCCAGTGGGACAGACATATAATAACAAGCAGGTGGCCAGTTGAAGTTCAGTAAGGCAAAGACTTGAAAAGCACCCACTTGCTCCAGCCACGTGCAGGCAAATTTTCTAGGGTCGTTTTAGTGGAGTGTGGGGTGAGGGAGAGGGAGAGCATCTGGATAATAAAGAATTGAGTAGTGATTAGGAAGGAGGAATGGTGAAATGGAATTCAGACCAGTCTCTGCCCTCTCTCTATTTGCTTAAAAGCAGGACATAAAGTTGTAAAGATGTCCCCCCTTCCCTCCCTACCAGGAAGGACAGAAGTTAATCCCCAGAGACAACTGTACACCCTGATCAACCCACAAATGGCACCAGAGGAATCTGTGTAACAAACTTTACTAACCAGTTTTTTTTTTTATTTGTTTTTTTAAATTTATTTTTGGCTGTGTTGGGTCTTCGTTGCTGCACGTGGGCTTTCTCTAGTTGCTGTGAGCGGGGGCTACTCTTCGTTGCAGTGCACGGGCCTCTCATTGCAGTGGTTTCTCTTGTTGCAGAGCATGGGCCTTAGGCACGCAGGCTTCAGTAGTTGTGGCAGGCGGACTCAGTAGTTGTGGCACACGGGCTTAGTTGCTCCGCAGCATGTGGGATCTTCCCGGACCAGGGCTCAAACCCGTGTCCCCTGCACTGGCAGGTGGATTCTTAACCACTGCGCCACCAGGGAAGTCCACTAACCCGTCTTACCTATTAAGATAAGTTCCCCTTATCCATTAGTTTCCCTATATATTTACCTTCCCACGATTTGCTACCCTAGAAACTTGGTGTTTTTCTTTTGTCTTGTTACTTCTCTACAAATTTATTGTTCTTTTGTAAGATATAAGCCCCAGTTCCAACCACCTTTTTGAGTTACTCATCACTGGGTACTTCCATGAGTATATGCAATGCACAGGTTAATAAACTTCTGTTTGTTTTTCTCTTGTTAATCTGTCTTTTGTTAGAATAATTTTCCATCCAGGGAACCTAAAATAATGGGTAAAGGGAAAACAGATTTTTTTCCCCTCTACATCCCCCAAATTCTCTTTACAGGGTTTTTTTTTTCTTTGTTTTGTTTTGTTTTCCCTGTACCAGGCTCCAATAAAGGTCCACACATTACTTGCGGTTATGTCTTTTTAGTCTCTTAAATATAGGGCTCTATCCCCATCTTTTTGATTTTGTTTTTCATAACATTGGTATGTTAAAGACAGCAGGTCAGATGTCTTAGAGAATGTCTCATACTCTAGATTTGTCTAGTTATTTTTTCATGGT